AGTTCCAAGTCACCACCTCAGGGAGTCCAGGACACCTCTCCTGTTCCTGGGTTCTGTCCTTATTCTGAAACCTTTCCCAGCCTCTCTGGCTGATGACCCCAGCACATCTCTTTGACTTACCCTTGAACGAGACCTCCCGGCTTCAGCACCTCCTTTTGAGTCCCAGGGGCTCTGCTTTCTTGCTCCAGGTGCTGTGATTCAGTTACACCCCAAACCCCAGAGCGGGGCCCTCAGACAAGCACACCCCCAGCACCCAAGAATCCCAGATTCTGACCAGTTATGGCTTCTTCAGTTCATGACATTCTGGCACAAAGCCATAAAACTTTCTAGCCATGCGGACTTCTGATGGTCCTAGATCAATGGTTCTTGACCCAGATCAGTTTTGTCCCACCAGAGGATATTTGGCCACAATTGGAGACGTGGCTGTGACTGGTGGTGGTGGAGATGAAATGTCACTGGCATTTAGTGGATGGGGGCCCGGGATGCTGCCGAATGTCCTGTGATGCACAGAACAGCTCCAGCCGCACAGAACCAATGATCTGGCCTAAAATGTCCACAGTGCTGCTGCTGAGGAACTCTGATGGCTGCTTCTTCCCTTTCTCAAAGTGGGTCCCACCTCCCCAGGGGCCGAGCCCTATTTCCGCGATGGGATGGAGGGACAGAGGAGCCCTAGGGCCTGCCACAGGCTGAGGGTGCATCCGGAGGAAGGGCAACTCTCATTGGACCCAAAGAACCCCGGGTGTCTTGACGGCTCCCAGCTCCCACCCAGAGCCCGGCCGAGCCCGTGAGCTACGATGCACCGCATATGTGCCCTACCTGCCTGTGGGGCCTCCTGCTCAGCCCCTCCCCTGTACAGGCCGCACGCGCCAGCAACACGGGCGTGTGTGATGTGGGGAGCCGGCCTGTGGTCGTTGGAGCAGGCCAGGCCCTCCTGGGGGTGGTGAGGACATATCTCTGGTGCCATCTTTCCTGTTCTGATAAATAACTGATCTGTGGTTGAGGCAAGAAGGTCACCTCTGCCCAGGGAAGCTCAGGAACAAACCACTTGTGACCGGTGGGAAGAGCCCGGGGTGGGGCAGCGGGAAGTCTGCCTTCCCTGGCCGCCGGGCTGCTGGGGGCAGATTTGAGAAAAGGGAAGTGCTGGGCTGGGGCAGCGTTTCCTGTGGTAGGGGCAGTCGGGGCATCAGGACGGCATGGCAAATCAGAGGGCGGGTGCTCCAAACCAGGAGGGGGCGAGTTAAGCTTCCCCTAGTCAGAAGGCCTGGGCCAGGAGGACCCCGGCTAGGCACAGTCCTCTGCTGTCCGCCGTGGGTCGGGTCTGGGGGGATAGAGGAACTTACTAAAATGCCCGAGAGACCATGAGTCCCCTGTTAGGGACCCTCAGCGTGAAGTCACCAGGGCCGGGTGATTCACTCCTTGCCTCTCATTATCTCTAGATCATGGGTCCTGCACCTGCTCACGCAGTTCCCTCTTCAGGTTACCTGCTCCTGCGACCTCCCTCCAGGCATGGAGGGAAGGCCTGCTGCTCCTTCTCCCCCCAGAAAAGCCCGCAGCCCCTGGCCTGGGTGCTCTGGGGAGCCCCCTTCCTCCTGCAGGGAGGTCTGAGCCCCGCAGCCTGTGTGAGCTGGCCCAGCTCCTGCTGCCCCTGGAGTGGGCAGCTGCCTGCTGCCTTCTGCCTCTTGTTACGGAGGACACTGGAGCAGGGGCTTAGGAGCTACGGAGCGGCCAGGCCTCCACAGCTCCTGGAACCCAGCTTCCTCCTCCGAGTATCACAGAGCATGAGCCAGACTCGGACTGCAGAGGAGTGCCCTGCCTGGGAGGGGAGCCGAAGGGGAGGCCGTGGCTCCCTGCTCTCCCGGCCCGGCCACCTCCCTCCAGGTTAAGTCCTGCTTCATCCACCTCGGCGGTCAGTCTCACTCCAACCCCACCGGACCCCGTCAGGACGCAGAGAAACCCTGGGGGACGACTCTGTCCCTTTTGTTTTGGCCGAGCCCCACTTCCGGTGAGGGTCAGGGCTCACCGGGTGGGTGTGTGGTTGGGGTGCTGGAGCTGCTGCTTCCACCTCTCTGGCCCCGGTGGAGCCTGTGCCGGGCAGAGGTGGCATCGGCCAGACCAGCACCCTGCTTCGATCCACTGTGTTCAGGCCACATGGGCAGTGCCCAGGGAGGGCCAGCTCACTCCTCTTTCTCCTCACCCCCATGCTCTCCGGCTCTGCGTGTGCCCTCTTTTGTTCTCCCCTCTTGACCTTGGGTTACCTCTTCTCTCTCTCTCTGTCTCCCCCTCAGGCTCTGCTGTTTCTTGCCCCGCCAGCCTCCAGGCCCCGGGGGCTCTGTATATATTTATCCATCTGTTAGTCCGTCTCCCTGATGTTCTCCGCATTTTCTCTCTCCTTATTATTCCCATCACCCCATGCTGACCCTGGCTCCTCTCCGTCTGTCTCTATCCTCCCGGTCTCTGTGCTCTCCCCCACCCCGTCCCTCCCGGCTCACCCCTGTCCCCGATTGTCTTCAGTCCCTGCTGGTCCAGAGTCCCCTCTGTCCCACGGCTGCAGCCTTGGCAGGACCTGCGGGGCATTTCTTAGTTGCCCACAGGCCCCCATCCTGTTATCAGTTGGAAATGAATCAGATTAGGAAACGGGGGAGTGGGGGTGTTATCGCCTGCTGCACACGGTGCTCTCGGCTAATCTCTGGTGGCCCTGGGTTCGAGAGGAAATGCAGTTGCGACACTGAGCCCTTCTTACCGTCACTGTCATGTCCGTGGCCAGGCGGCAGGGGACCTGGGCTTGAGGCAGAATGGGGGAGAGAATGGGGGAGAGGGAGGAGGCGGAGGCCAGGCCCCGGCCGCTCCCAGGCCTGTGCACATCCCCGCACGTGCCCACTCACACTTGTGTGCACCTTTGAGCACAAGCCCAGGGAGCCTCCTGGACACTTGCATCCCTCGCACGTTGCCAAACCTCACACCTCATTCTTCCATTGCCTTCACACACCTGCCCCCATCCCCTGGACACATCACTCCTGACTGGATGGCTTCTCAGCCTTGTCCCAGGCGCCCTGTGACCCAGGGGCCCATCGACAGACGGAGTGAACCTGTGAAGCAGCCGCAGGACTGGCCCTTCCCCTGAGCAAGCCCTCCCACAATATTCAGAGTCCAGCAGCCAGTCCCCCCCATCATCCCTGGGGCCTTGAGGTCTGCGTGTCCAGTTCCTGCCCTTCACCGGCCCTCGCCTCCCACTGCCCTTCAGCTTCCTTTGCTCCTGCCTTCCTGCTCCTGCCCCCCTGGCTGCACTGCCCTTCTTGGCGCCCCAGGTTTGGACGTGCCCTTCCCTCTGCCTGGAGGACTTTCCTCCACCAGACACCTGGCTGACTCCCAGACTCCCAGCTCCTGCGGCTTTCCTGTCGTTTCCTTAGAGCATCGCGGGCCCCCTTCAGGTCTCTGGTCCCAGGGCTCTGGCACCCTCATGCGTGGGTTCCCCTGTCCCCACTGGAGCTGCACTTTTCTGGGAGTGATTTCTTGTTCACCACCCACCTCCCACTGGACTGTGGGCGTGTGGAGATGGGCCGCAGCCCTCCAGCACCACCCAGTACCTGGCCTGGAACCTGTTCACACTGCACAGGGGTTGAGTGAACAAGGGTGTAAACACACCCAGAGACACTGATGCCCCAGTCAGCACACACTGAAAAACACCCAAACACATCCAGACACTGCATGAAAGCCCCCACCTAGACAGACACTCGGACAGACTCAGAGTCTGAAAACCTAAGTGTACAGAGAGACGCAGAAAGACTAAGATGCTCAGATAAGCCCACTGTTTCCTATGGGCTCATTGCACCTCACAGCTGGTGGGTGCCCAGGCTGGCCCCCGGGTGGGGTCCCCCGTCAGTGTGGGCCTCCTGCGTCCTGTTGCCCTGGCCTTGGCTGCAGGGACCTCTTCCCAGGTCACCGACTCCCCAGGCAGGGTCCTCTGGGCCCTGGGCCTGGTCTCGGAGGACTGGTACTTACGACAGGCAGCTTTCAGGCCCAGTGCACAGGATCAGGCCAGTGTACGCTGGCACCTCAGGATGACAGATTTTAAAGAAAAGTTACAGTTTAGGGAAAGGATTGGCTGAGCACACACCAAGCTAAATCTTGGTACATTTCTCAGCAATGTTTTGCTTTCAGAATCACTGCTGAAGTTAATCCAGGTCAGGGTTGCTGTCCCGGCCTCAAGGAGGTTCCAGCTGGAAAGAGGCAGCTGTGGTGGCCGGTGAAGAGGGACGGCGGCCTCGGAGAGGGCGGGCCTCCGGCAGACCGGCTGCGGGGTGGGCCGCAGGAGGCAGCAAGCAGGGCCTGGACGCGGCTCACAGAGGGGCCTTACCTGGCTTCGTCTGGGGACGGAGTGGGGGTGCACTGGGCCAGGGGAAGCCAGGAGAGGCGGGGGCGGGGGGGGGGAAGAGATGGGCCGGCGTGCCCTGCCGCAGGGAAGGGGCCGTGAGGCCTCCGGGGGCAGCTGCTCGCTTCCTCAGTGGGCTTTCGCCGCCATCAGGACCCAGCGGAGAAAAGCAGTGGAGCCCCCTTGGGGTCTGCTCCTGTCCGCGGGTCCCCGTTTCAGACCTTGCTTGCGGAGAGCCTGGTTCTCTGGGGTCACCAGCCCTTGAATGAGGGGGCACTAGAGCCATGTTCCCTGCACACCCGGCACCAGGGAGACACGAGGGGCCGCCTCTCATGGCTCCCCAGTCCCATTTCTTAAATCGAAGGGCATTTCCCAGGTTGCCAGCAGTCTGCCCCTCCCCCAGCCAGACGGTCTTCCCCAAGAAGGGCGTTCTCGAATCCTCCTTCCGAGGCAGCCCTAGCAGCTCCCGGGTCCCTCTGTCCCGATGTCCAGTTTCCTGATCGCCAGGCCCCGGCCTCCCCTTTCCCAGACAGGGCTCTGGGGCCGTGCTGGCAGGACCCGTGTGCCGGGGGCACATGCGGAGGGTTTCCACAGCACCCAGGTCTCTGTGCACCATTTTCTCGTCCCCCAGGGGCTGGCGGCTGGCCTGGCGTCTCTCGGATGGAAATACTGAAGACTCCTTGGCTGATCTGAGAAACGTGAGAACAGGGCTGGGAAAATCGGCCGTTTTTGTGGTTTGGGGGTTTGAAGCAAGTTTCACAACTGATCTCCCAAGAACACGGTCCAGTCAGATGCGCTCCCTGCCCGGGGGCCCAGTTCCCTGCTGGTAGTGGTGCTGACCCACCGCCTGGCTGGGCCGCTGGGTGTGGGGTCGTGGCTGGGGCAGGGGCTTCGCTGCCTGCCCTCCTGCACTCCCTGCTTGCCTTGTTTGGGGGGTGAGCGCAAAGAGCTGAGACAGAACCATCTGGGAGATTCTTATGGTTTCCATTTTATCCTTCAGCATGGGGAGAGGTGTCTACTTCACACCCGCACTCCTGTCTTGGAAATCTTTCCCAGATACCTCTGGGGCAGCTGTGCCCAGAAGCCTTCATCTGTGGGGACATAAAGTCTGAGAGATTCTTTTGTTGCCATAATCTGGGCCTGGGGCTGACTAGCGGGAGGTATTGGAAGGACCTGCTCTGGGGGGGTTCAGGGAGAGAGGGAGGACCCCATGAAGGCACACCCAGCCTCCCGAGGTTCCCCTTAACTTCCGCTGCCTCCTCTTCAGACAGCACTGGCTGGGGTGGGGAAGGGGTCCTCAAACCCTGTCCCCAAGTGGCCTGGTTTCCCAGACTGTCCTTCCACTCTGGGAAGTCCCAAGCTGCCTCAGGCCAACCGGGGGCAGAACTGAAATTGGTGACATCTGCCTCTTTGGCCCCTTGGCTCTCCCTCCCCGCCCACTTGCCCCAGACTCTTCCTGCAGGAGCCTCCAAAAGACAGGCCCCCCTGTCCCTGAGTGAGCGTTGCTACCCTGTGTTCCACAGCCCCCACCCCGGCCCGGGCCCTGAGCGAGACCTGCACTCTCCACTTCTGGTGGCTGGTGTGTAACTCTGCACCCTGCTGTCCTTGTTTGGAGCCACGGAGGCCTAGGGCCCTGGGACACTTCTCAGGCATTCCATCCCCCAGTGGAGGGAAAGTTAAAGTGCCAGGTGGGGACATTCCTGCCCAAGGGCATGGTGTAAGGCAGCGGTGGGTATGGGGCAGAGATCCGGGTTCTGGAACAAGTGAGGGCGGGGCTAGGATGTCTCCCATTCTGTAGGGCAGCTAGAAAAACAGAGCTGGACTGGGAGTCCCCAGACTAACAGCCAGGGGGGAGCCAATCATGTGCTCGGTCAGGGGAGGGGTCGGTGGTCGCTCAGACGTGGTGGGTCGGGGACTGGCAGGCCAGCCCCGCGGAGCAGCGCTCAGGGGCCAGACACAGGATCTGAGCAGAGCCTTGGAGCCTCTCAGTCAGAAGCAGAGAAATCTGGACAACTGAACACACCCAGGCGGACAATGAGCCAGGATTTGAAAAGCCCTCAGAGTCCACCCTGCGGGTCAGCATTGCTGGGCCATGGAGGCCGACAGTGTTGGGGGTCAGGTAGAGACACCCACACAGGGCGGCTGGCTCGGGAGGCTGGGTGTTCTGAGTACATGGGGTGGGTGCTCGGGTCCCCCTTCCCGTTCCCTATCCATGTGCCCCCCCAGCTTCCTGTTTCTGTTTTGGGGCCACAGGAACTTCCTCTTCTCATCACGGTTCAAAATGGCTTGCTAGTCTCAGCACAGGCCTGGTGAGGGGTTGGTCATCCCAGCCCGAGGCCGCGCACAGATGTGCCCCTCGGGGGTGGGAGGGCCTGCTGAGGTGCGGACTGCGGCCCGTCCCCAGTGCTCCTCCTGGAGCTCCTTGGATGGAGCCTCTGGGGTGATCACCGTTTGAGGCCAAAGTGGGCTGGATCCTGCTGGAGTGACCTTGAGCAGACACTCTGTCCTCTTCCCGCCTCAGACAGGGGATGCAGAGGGTCTCTTGCCCCCACTTTCCTCCTGCTCCCTCCCAGGACACGGGCACCTGACGCAGGCATTTATGGGCAGCACGGCTTTGGCCCGTCGTACACTTACACACACACTCGCACACACGGGCACACACACTGGCAGCGGGGACGTGGCCTGGCCGGGGGTGCCTGTGTGTGTACTCCTTGGTGAGTGTGTGTGTGTGATCATGTGGGAGGCACACACATGTGTGTGAGTACATGGATCTCCCTGTGTGAGCTTGTGTCTGGGTGTGTTTGGGGGAGCCATCTCTCTCCTCCCGAGCACAACCTGTACCCCTGCCCCTGAGCGGAACTTCTCTCCCAGATGGTACTGAGCTGTGTCTGCAAGTCCCCGAGCTCTTGCTCAGGAGCATAGCTTGGGGGTGGGCTTCCCTTAGCCCCATGACTCCTCTGAAGGTATGGTCGTGAGAAAGGTCCAGGGCATGGGAGGCAGCCACGAGGTAGGCTGCCAGGGAGGGTACGCAGGGCGGCCTCCACTGCCTCCTTGGGACCACCTTGATCCACTGGGATGTCGGGCCCGTAAGAGGGGCACCCTGGGAGCACCCTGGGCGTGGAGGGGCCTGGAAGTGAATGTGGACGGAGCTGCTGAGAGGCCAAACTCACTGCTCCTACCTCCTACTATAACCGATTGGCCCTGGATGGAGCTGAGGATCCAAGGGCTTCCCCGCCAGGACCTGGGGCCAGGGTCAAGGTCAGAACCCTACCAGAGCTTCTGTCCAGAATCTCCCAAACACTTGTTCTGGGCCAGGCATCTACTGCTGGAGGACCAGCACTGTCCCTTACTGATGAGCAGTCCGAGGCCATGTGGGCGGGAGGTTGTGGCGCCAGGACCCAAAGCTGGTGGCCACACTGCAGGGACTCATGCGACACTCTAGGCCTGGCTGGCTCCCTCCCTGGGGATGGCCCCACAGGAAGATGACATGGGGAACCCAAGAGCCCACTCCGCCCAGTTTCACCACTCAGCACCTGCCTCCTGCTCCCCACTAGCACCGAGAGGCGGCAGTAGGACGAACCCTCATGGATTGTGAACACTGAGGTCGAGGTCATAATTAAGTCTTTGCAAATCAGGCCCACATCAGCCTGTATCTTGAGCGAGCAGTCTCTGGAGGAAGAACATCCCGGAGCACCTAATGAAGAAAAGTTGGACAGGTTTTAAAACTTTTTTAAACCCTGAAGAATAGACCTTTGTTGCCAGCCCTCCTTCTGTGGCAGCCTGCCTGGCCCCTGGACTCCAGGGCTGCCCCGGGGCCGGGGGCAGGAACAGGCCGCCCCAGCCCCAGCAGTCCCCGCCCTGCGGGGCTGAGCCCCCAGATTGTTGTCCACCATCTGGCTTGTCCAATTCCAGAGGCATCACTGGCTATGAGCAGGACCCCAGGAACGGGGTCTTAAGGGGGCCCCCCTCTTTGTCCTCCATGGCCCACCTCACCCTGCCAGATCTGCCCCTGGGGAGCCAAACCCAGGTGGGGTTGGGGTGGGGCTGGCAATGAGGGGCCACCTCTGATTGCCCAAGGCCCCCCTTTTTCTGGCTCCATACCACCCTCACTGTGTCTAGGCCTGCTAACCCCCTCAACCTCTGCACCTTTGCTGTAAAGGTGTTCCCTCCACCTACAATGCTTTTTCCTGCTTCTTCCCCCTAGCACATTTCTGAGTATCTTTTAAGATGGGTATCACCGCCCCCGCTCCCGGAAGCTGCCGTGCTTTTCCAGGCCAGGTTCCCTGTCCCTCCTCTGTGTTCCCCCAGCTAAATGGTCTCCATCCTCTTGGGCACGTGTCCCTGGAGGGCAGGTCTTGGGTGCCGGGCCAGCCCGTGCCTGGCACAGAGTAAGTAAGTGCTCAGTTCCCCAGAGTGAAGTAAAGGCAAGGTGACAGAGTGAGAGCCTTGGGACCCTCACTGCCATTCCCTGGGGAGAGTGCTGTCCACCGCTTTGCTGTACGGACGGGGAAACCGAGCTCTGGTGGCGGCGGTGACTTGCCCACAGCAAGCTGGATGGAGGGTGGGGAGCTGAGGGCAGTGAGCAGCAAACCTGTTCTATGAAGAGCCAGATGGGAACTGCGTTCGGCTCCATGGGCCATTCAGTCCTTCTTGCAAATATTCAACCGCCATTCAGGACAAAAGTAGCCGTAGACAATGCATAAACTGGGGTGGCTGTGTTCTAACAAAGCTTCATTGACAGATTTCCCATCATTTTCATGTGTCACTAAATGTGATTCTTTTGATTTTTCTCCCTAACCTTTAAAAACCATAAAAGCCTAGCTCTTAGGCTGTATAAAATCCTGTGATAAGCCTGATGTGATGTGGGGCCAGTGGGTGACTGGCCCCTGGCCCAGGAAGGAAGCCAGGTACGCTTTCCCTGCCCTGGTCAGCCCTCCCCAGGGCCCCCAGCTCAAACACGGCATGTGCTCAACAAATGGAAGGAGCAAACAGATGATGAGCTAACTAACTTGCTATCTAACCAGACAACTGACCCGTAAACTAGGCCCTTATCTCTTGTGTTCAGAGCTGCCCCATTCCCATCTCTGGGCTGCTTTAGACCTGACTGACCCCTTGTCCACTGACCTATCTCACTGACCTCTTGACCAGCCCCCATTGTTCTGACCTCTGGCCAGGCCTCCTTTCAGTGGGCACGTGTTATGCTGGGCCAGCAGCACACGCTGCGTCTGTGCGGTGGGGAGAGGGCTTCCGGACTGAGCGGGGTGTCTGGCTGCACCCTGGGGTGGGGAAGAATTGGCCAGGTAGACAGAGGACACATTCCCTGCAGCGGAATGCCCTAGACAACATGTGGAGACCAGGACCACCACACGTCCAGAAGAGCAGGCACACAATTGTCTCTCTGTGGAGGGTTGAGGAGCATCCGAGGCAGAGCCCAATCCCTTCAGGAGCGAAGGCTGTGGGTCCAAATTGGGCCCTAGCCCGCACCACTCAGCTGGGCCTGCCCATCCAGTGTGAGCGAAGCAGGAAGCCCCCGGGAGGCCCCATCTTGCCCCTTGTGGGCCTGCTCCCCACCTGACCTGTGGCCATTCCCCTTCCAGATTTATGCATTTGGACTCAGCAATGCCCTGTCTCAATCATTCATTTACTCAACAAACATTGGTGAACCACCACCTACCTGCCAGACAGGCCCGCTTCAGACTTCAAACTTTGTGGAACTGACCATCCAGCAGGAAAGACAGATGGTGGATAAGCAAGCAAGACCAAGGGCGGGGCCGTTTCTAGGGGCGCAAGGACCGGGGAGTGCTGCTGTACTGCACCGCAGGGCAATGTCCCCGGGCAGGGGTGGGAAGCTGCTTCAGGCCGGCCTTCCTGGGGAGGGGGCAGTAGAGCTCAAATCTGAATGAGGAAAAAAATTGGCCAAGCAAAGACCAAGAGGGAACCACAGTGCACAGCCCTGGAACAGAAGCAAGCTGCTCGAGGGACAGTCCCCAGAGAGGCGCAGAGTGATGGGCATGGCGGCAGAGGGCCTGGCAGGATGCTGTGGACAACAGATATAAAGGCCTGGGTGTGATCGGACTGGTGTTTGTAAAGATCCTTTCCTGTGGCCGCCACTGTGTGAAGAGCTGAGGGTGGGGACTGCAGGACAAGATGCCTGTCCCCAAAGGTGCTGGGAGGATGATATATAGACAGGAGTCCTGCCAGGGAGCCAAGGGCTGGGTCCCCTGCTGGAGCAGGCGCAGAAGGCTGGGCAGGATGTGGGCGGTGGGCAGGCCCGGAGACTGCTGCTCTTGGCCTGACTCTGGCATTGGCTTGGCGTTCGGCTGCGGGGGAGCCGTGTGTGGGCTTGTCCCTGGGCAGCTGGCCTGCCTCCCCAGAGACAGGAGCCACAGGTAGGCTGGCTCGCCCTGGCCCAGCTGTTAGTGTTGTGGAGGTGAGGTGGGTTAAAGGGTGGAGGGACCTCCCCGGCCCTGAAGCAGCACAGGGAATAGAGAATGCCTTTATCCTTGCCAAACCTTTCTTCGCTTGCCCACCCACTCTGTATTGCAGTCCCACTGTGTGCCAGACGCAGGCCCATCAGAGGGTCTGTCGAGCTGGGCATCTGCACCTGGTCTGGGACCAATCCGGGATGGGAGACCCTCCCAGAGCAGGGCTGTGGGCACCTCCAGCTCAGCCCAGTCCTGGCCGAACCATGTCAGATGCTTTTTCCCCTCCTCCTAGTCCTCATTTCCCTGTGGTGCCAGGACATCTGGCCCCAAAGACAGAAACTTGTATAAGGTTCAGGTACTCAGCCCTGGTCTCGGACTTCCCGGGGGTGCCGGGAGTAGACTTCTGGGTGCCACGTGGCTGATGTCTGCAGGGGAGGGCACTGAACAGTGTGGAGGCCACTGGGCAGGCAGAGCAGAGGTCTGTGGCTGTCCCCGTCTGCGTGCGTGTGTGGGGGACGTGGCTTGTGCAGCCTGCATTTGGTGGTGGCTTCCAGGGGCAGGAGGGCCTGGGTGTTCATGTGTGACTATGACTATCTGTGTGCACACTGTGACAATGTCTGTGTGCTTATGTGACTGTGTGCGTGTGTGCACATCTGTGTGACTGTGGATGGTACTCGAGCCTAGGAGTATCGCATCCGTGTGAGAACCTGTGACTGTGAGTGTGTGCAGTGCGTCTGTGTGAGTGCACCTGTGTGCCTATCTGTGTGTGTGGCCTGTGCCCCTGGCGCTGGTGTGGCCCAAGCCGCCTCCCGTGGCCTGTTTTCCGGCTGCCCCACCCTGCTTCTCAGTGAGTGTTGACTCAGGGAGGGACGGGCAGGCTTCGTTCAGGATTTCCTGGTTGGGCAGAAGTGGTGTCTTGAAAAGGGAACAATTACGTCCTGAAGTGGACACTAAAGGGTCTGGGCTGTGCAGCGCTCCGTGGTGTCCAAGGCCCTGAGGCCGCGTGCGGCCCCCCTAGGCTGGGTTTCCGGAGGCAGCTGCGGAAGAGCTTTGCCTCTGAGAGGGGCCGTAAGATGTGCCCTGAAGCCTTTCCCCAGTGCTCCCCCCAACAGGGCCACATGGGTTGGGGCTCTGGGCCTGGTTGTCCCCTTACAGCCACGGAGGGGAGATTGGCACAGCTTGAGGGAAGTGGGGCTTTCAGTGTCCCCAGGCACCGACTGTCCCCAGGTCCCCGTCCAGACTGGGCCAGGGTATCTAGTCCCCAACCCACCGCCCCACACCCTGAAGCTTGATCAAAATCTAAGAAGCCCCAGGGGAGCTCCACCATGTGGGGGGCCCCCAGAAGTGCTCAGTCTCTGGGGGTGGGGCAGGAGTATCGGCCCCGCCTGCGCTCCTGAGAAATGCAGAGTTTGGGGCCGTGCAGGCCTGCTGAGTCAGCCCCTGGGCTTCTGTAGGGTCCCCTCCTGGAGGGGAGTGGGATGTCTGAGAGGGACATCCTTGCTGTCACTTTCTGAGAGGCAACAGGTGACCGAGCTACCTCCTTCATCACCCCCAGAACCCTCGGTAGCTTGTGTCCTGAGGTATGCTGAGGGCAAGGCTGCCCAAGGGCTGAGAGGCTGAGGGGTGGGGCTGAATCCGGAGACGGTGGGCAGCCAGCCTTGCCACCTCTGGGCACTCCTTCCTCAGGCCTGGGCCCTAATCTGCAGGACAAAGTGGGGATTTGCAGTCCAAAGGCTGCTAATAGGGCCACGGCTCCTCTGTCAGCACCCGCTCAGGGAGAGGGAAGAAGCTCTCCCCAGGGCGAAGGGAGCCGCCTGTCCTGGCTCGTTCGGGGAAGTGGCGGGGACACAGCCAATGATGAGGAACTCAGTGGTTTCCGAGCAGGGTCAGGACAAGTAATGGCCCTCAGGGGGGTCTCCGCGGAACCTCTAGTGCGGACGGTGAGCTCAGGCCCAGAATGTGTGTCCCCCAGAGACACTGCCCCTACCCTGCATCCTGCCACCAGATCTGTCTGCTGCCAGAAGATCAGGCCTCACCCCTTGCATCCATGATGACCCTTTCCCTCCGAACAAGGACTCCGTCACCCTGTCTCCATCCTGCTTTGTGTGATGGCCCAAAACCGGCCTCTGACAGATGAACAGAGCCTTGGCCCCCCCCCCCACCACCGTTCTTCCACATCGGTGCCCCAGGCCTAGGCATGGACCTACCCTGAGTTGGGGAGAAGGGTGTCAGGGTCCCTAGGAGCTGCAGAGAGCTAATGCCTTTTTAAGCTGAGGGGAGGGGAGAACCCCGGGGCGCCCCTGTGCAGGGTGCCAGTAGGGGGTGGTGCCAGGCTCTGGTCTCCGGCCCACACCACCCTGGGCAGCCACGAGTTAGGCGGCCGTTAATAATTAACCTGAGGACTGGGCCTTGACCTCATGGGCCTCTGAGTAAACAGGGCTTTTTGGCCAAGCGTCCTTAGCCTGTTGGGACCTGCTGGGCCCCTCGTGGCCTCTCTGCTTTCTGCCCCTTGACCTTTTTTGGCCTCATGGTCCAGGTCTCCCTCCCCTCCTTAGCTGGAGCAGCGGCTAGTGGCCTGGGCCTCTCTGACTTCCACTCTGCATCAGCCCACCACCCATTCCTGTCCTGGCACCTTATTCTCACTCCGCCCCACACCTTATTCTCACTCCGCCCCTGACCCCCACTCCATGGTCTTTGAGGTGGGTATCGCTTCTTAGACTGGGATTTGCTGACGAGTGTTTCAGCTGCAGCCTCAGCATCACTGGGGTTTGTGGACCCAGGTGTCCCCAGCACAGTCTCAAAAGCCTCAATGCTGAATGGCTGTGGCCAGAGCCAGGTTCGATGGGATTCTTGTGCACACTGTCATCTGGGACCTGAATCCACTCTCTGGGGCAGGCAACATGCCCCTTGGGCTACCCGGAGTGCCCCTGTGTAGACAGTCAAGATTGGCTGTCAAAAGTCCCACGTTCAAGCTCTAGCTCTGCCCTAACTGGCTGTGTGACCCTGGGCCAGTGCCCTGACTCTTTGGACGTCAGTTTTCCCATCTGTATGAAACAAAATGGCACAGAAGTCCTTGGGCTTGCCAGCTCCAGGATTCTAGACCTTATTCCACCTTGGAGTGAGACCAAGGATAAGAACTTGTCTCACGTGTCCCACACTGCCCCCCCCCCCGTAATCAATTAAGGACAGAGTCCTCTGGGTGGGCCCCATGTTCCTGGCTGCCCAGCATCCACACCTCCTCTAGGGAAGCCCTGATGTTCTTTGGGGAACCAGCCTTTCCCTTCTCAGACCTCATGGCTCGACCAAGGCTGCCCCAGCCCAGGGCTCTGGAGTGGCTCATGTGCTTTGGGCCAGGCCAAAGGGTGTCAGCTTTGAGACTTTTGTTGGAAATACTGGGAAAAATTTTTTTCTTTTCCCTAGGGGGCAGGAGAATGGGACCTAGAAGCTAACTTGATGAGCCTGTGGAAGGCAGAGGAGCCCAAACGGAAGCAGAGCTCGGAGATGGACATGGATTCCACAAGCGAAGTTCGGCTGTGCCTGAAGCCGCTCCGCCCTGGGCTTTTCCAAGACGAGTATTGTTAAGTTCCTTTTCTGCTCAAACCAGCGTGAATTGAGTTTCTTCTCTGATTCGCAGTCCCACATCTGAGCCAGGCAGACCATGCAGAGAAGATGCCACGAATGCACGATAGTTGCAGGTATACATACGGCTAAGCACCTACACAGAAAGTGTGAAAGAAGAACAGGACCAGGGAGGAAGCCCGGCTTCAGTGAGAGGCCAGGGGACGGCTGGGCCAGCCAGGTAGTGCCGGGCAGAGAACATGGTACCTGGGCCTTTGGAAGTCAATGGCGTTCTGGATGAGGGGGTGGGGGGCAATGGGTGCGCCTGACAGGCTGGAGCTCACTGACGAGGGGGAAAGGTGAACGTGCTTGCATGCACACACAGACACGTGCACATGCAAAGCACACACACACATTGAGGTGCCTGCAACAAACGTTCTGTGGCGGCTCTATATGAGCCCTTAGAGTCCCTGTCCACTGCAGAGGCCTGGAGCTGGCTCTGCATGGGGGTGGGTCCAAGGCCACTGATCAGTGGGTCCCCCTCCACTGGGGACTATGTGGATCCTGGGAGTCCAAGGAACACCAGGGTGTGGCTGCCTCTGCTCCACCATGGGTGGGAGGGACATCTGGGCATTGGGAGGAGCAGGGACTCAGCCCCAGTTGGTCTCCCCGGGGCCTCCAAGGAAGGTGACCTCATGGGCCTCACAGGGCTGGGCTCGGAGAGAGGCCTCATCCGGGGGCCCAGGCTGCCTTTGTGACTCTGTTCAGTGAGGAGTCCTAGAGGCAGAGGGCCTTTGACACACAATTCACACAACACATGCACGCATACCCACGTGCGCAGGGGAGGCATAGCGCACGGATGACCCCTCACCTGTGTGGGCCCCAGGTGGTGCGGGAGGGGGCCCCCTCTGTGTGGGTAGTGAGCAGGGGCAATAAACAGGGAGCCCCATGTCCATCCTGTGAGACTCCTAGGCTGAGGCCTGGAAAAGCCTCTTGGCCAGCAGAGGGACCAGCTGGATTGGGGGCCTCCCTCAGCCACACCCCTGATGTGTCTGCTCTATTCCTTTCCTTTTCTTGCCTTGGCTTTGGCTTGTTTCAGCCCCTTCCTCCTTTCTGGCTCCCTCCTGGCTGACTCCTGGCTCCCTCCTGTCTCTGTTATTCTCATTTTCTGTCTGCTGAGTAAGGGGTGCACCCAACTGAGGGGGCAAGCCAAGAGCTCAGGCTCAGGGCCTTTGGTTGCTCGGTTGTTCGGCACAACTCTCATCTGTACACTGCTCCCTGCCCCGCTTCCTCTCTCTGGCCAAAGCCATCTTGCCCTTTGCTCTGGAACTGCCAGCACCCTGGAGGGGCCACTGGCCTCGTCTCCTCCCCCAGCCTCTGCAGCTCCTGCTCCTCCCCCTAGGCTGGCCTGCCGGGCTGCGGGGAGGCCACGGAGCCAGGACATGTGTCCTGGCCCCAGGCAGAACCCTTGCTCTGGCCGCAGAGACACGCTGGCCAGTCCCAACTCTGTCCCCTGATATCCCTGGAGGCCTGAGTGAGGCTCCTCCACTGGGCAGCTTTGATTCCCATCCACCTCCAGGTTGGGAAACTGACCTCAGTTTGGAGAAGTCCACTCTGAGGGGTCCCTGTGGAGGGGCTCCAGGCAGAACTGAGGTCCAGCCAGCAATGAAATGGGAAGCAGGACCCTGTAGCCTATCATCCCCCTCAGTAGAGCCTCAGGGAAGAGCCTGCCCTGGAAAGGGTAGCAGGAAACAGGGACCATGGCTGCGGACCTGGTCAGGCGGGGGCAGACGCAGGGCCCTCTGCAGGGTACGGGGAGGAGTGCCTTGCAGTCTGGGCAGCCACTGTCCTGGGGGCTTTTATTATGCTCACTGTTGCCCTCCAGGCCTGGGCCTGCTGGTGCCCGCCTCCAGGAAGCCTGCCTGGCTGGACTAGAAGCCAGAGGGGCCCAAACCAGTGGCCTTCATCCTCCTCAAGCACCTTGACAAGGATTTGTCCTAACACACTCATTAGCCTGGAAGTTGCAGGGACAGGGCTGGGCCATCCACTCTTGGAAGACCCCATCTGCCACCCGGCCTGCCTGGGCCTCTGGATGGCATTGGTCAGTGGGGGCCAGGGCTGCATGGAATGTTCTCTGACATTACATCTCGGAATCCAGGGCAAGCCCCCAATTTCTGATCACCGATGGGCTGGTTTTCAAGCAAGTTTTCTCACTGGGTCCAGGGCTGCCAGTTGCTATGGCAGACGAGCCTGGGCAGGGTCAGGAGGTGCCAGGAGCTGGAGAAAGACCGGGTGGGGGCAGCAGTCAGTGTCCACAGTGGTGTCTGGCTACCTGGGTTTGCACGTGGCTGAGCGTCTGACGGGTGTTTTTCCCTCCTGGAGTCTCAGCTGATATCTGGAGTGGGGACAACCTCCCAGGGCTATAAGGTACAGTGGGTTAGCGCCCAGCCTGCTGCCTGACAGGCATGTAGCCCTTAATCAATGTAGCTGTTAGCCCTGTTCAGGCCAAGAGGCCCAGAGGACTAGGGAGTTCGGGTCATTTCTGCAGACCTGGGCAAGACCTGCCACTGGGCAAAGGGAAGCATCCTGACTAAACGTCCCCGCTCCTGGGCCCCAGCGTCCTCAGGGCACAAATGTGCATGAGCACACACACACCTGGCTTCCCTCCCAGGACCCAGCCACCTGCTGGAAAACCAAGAGCTGCATTTTCAAAATAATGATTAAGAATCAGCATTAACTATTCAAATCGAAACTCCCCAAACCCTCTGTGGGGTACCCAGCTCCTCTGGAGCCTGTGGGTAAAAAGCTCTTACCATAGTGGAAAAAGTAGTCTGCTGGAACCGAAATCTTCCTCAATTTAGCTGAGTCATTTTCTTGTGGTTAAGGAAGTTCAGGTCACCTCTGGCCCTTCCCCTGATGAGCTAGCCTGGGGGACCCCAATCTATCCTCCCCTCAGGCCTGCCTCCAGCCAGCTCCAGGGCCCTCCCAGCACAGCCCTGACAGGAAGGGTCTCCCTGACTCCCAGCTTCCAGAAGCTGGTTCCTGCTCCCAGGCCGGTGTCCCAAATGCTGGAGAACCTGGAACCAGGGCCCAGCGCAGAGTGAACCGTGGGTGACAACGGAGAAGCGGACAGACCCGTGGCCCTGGGCGGTTCTAGGGTGCTGTGCCCTAGGTGCCCACAGGCCCACTGTTGTGAGCTCCCTGGGGTTTGCTGCAGCTGGGGGTGAGGTCCGTGACTGTCCCTGATCCGAGGAGCCTACACCTGTCAGCTGAGACTCCTGGTCGAAGAGTGGCAGCTTCCTGCTCAGCCTTGGCTTCCAGTGCGCTGGAAGCTACTTTTGGTTGGTGCTCCTATCTGGCTGTAGGTTGCTGCCCCTCCCCATGAAGACCCTTGGGAAGCTTCCAGAGGGCATCCTCCGGAGTGGGCGCCAACTCCACTGAGCAGGGAGGGATGACCCGGGTCACCTGAGCGCTGTGTGGAGAGACTTGCATGAACCCAGAGGCAGCAATGGCTGGCAGGAAGTGGAGGCGGCTCTGTGGGCCGCGGGTCCTCCAGCTGTGCCTGTGCCTTGCACCAGAAGCAGGGATCTCCCAGGGCTCTCCACAGGGACTCTGGGCTTCCAGTGGGGCCACTCTTCCCTGGCTGTCTGGGAATCAGGAGGAGCCCTGAGGCTGCCCGGCTCTCTGTACTGGGCTCCCCTCAGGGGTCACGGTCTGCCTCGTACTTTGTGTTCTGCTTGAGAAATGGGGGTGCGGATACCCATGGCCCAAGATTGTCAGCAAATTACAGGAATGGCAGAGTCAGAGGGAGAAAGGAGACCAAACGGACAGATGTGTGGGTAATTGAAAGCCTTGATGTATTTGGGGCATCAGAGCCCAGATCAGTCCCCCGTGGGGTCCAGGGGCCTATCCCAGCGAGGTGTCCAAGGTCACCCTATAGAACTCCCTTAGCAGGACACCAGGGTACAGCGCAACCAGTCGAACACTGCCTGTGGCCCAGAAGCTGTGGAGAGGGCCCTGGGCCGGGCAAGGCTGCGAGGCTGGGAGTGAGTGGCAGTGCTGTGGGGGCCAGAGGGAAGGATCAGGGCACCGCGGCAGATGCCGGGGAGGCCCACCTCCCTGAGGGCCCCTTGGCCCTTGTCAGTGCTCAGCGGGCGGCCCCTGGCCCGGCCCTGGGAGCTCTGTCACCCAGAGTCATCCCACACCCACTTGGACCGCGTCCTCCCAAGGCTCTGGCAGCCAGTGTTTGGGAAATTAGGTGAGGGGGGCCTGGGACGAGGGTGAGGAAGGGAACTATTTATGTCTAAAAGTCATCTTGAGATTTTCAACATATTTTTTATTTTTCAAAACAAAAGCCCTATACGTTGGGGGGGAGGTGTGAGGGGGGGAACCTAGCTTTGTGGGAAATGAGTCAGACAGCCATAAAATGTGTTTTTCTGAGCTGAGGGGATTATTTTACATCTTGTGGCCTGAAGACACTGAGAGGAAGCCTCCTCCCGGTCCCTGGCAGGCTCCCTGCTCACCAGCCCGGGCCGCCCCTTCCCCGCGACCCTGAGCTGAGGCTCTTACCTCCCTAGAGGGGGGAGGACCATGGCTGCTCCCCTAGGCCTTGCCTCTCACCCCCCCAGGTCTCTCCCCTCTTCCCGCCTGACCTCACCTTCATTCTTTTAGGTAGGAGTGAGGCTGTGAAGGGTGGTGGCCTCATGGTGCGTCCTGGCTTCACCACTTACAGTCCACCGATCTGGGGCAAGTCCAGTGGGCCTCAGGGGGCTTCCTACCCCTCTTCTGATGGACAGGCAGGTGGAGGGACCACGCTTCACCTCCCCTGCTCAATAGTTGACAAGATGCAATGAGAGACTTAGGGATGTCGCTCATTGCACGTCACTCTCCTAAGTGTCTGTATGTCACTTTCTTAAGTGTCAGTAAAGGGGTGCTCGGTGAAGGGGTTCCTCCCTCACCGTCCAGCAGCACCCTTGTGCGTAGGTGAGTGAGGGGCACAGCGGACAACCTTCCTCTTTGGAGCCCTTCCCGAGCCCAGGTGGCAGGAGCCTCTCCTTCCCCCCTGTGGCCGGCGTCTCTCTCCTGAGCAGCTTGATCCCAACTCTGGTCAGTCCCAGGGAACAGGAAGCACAGTCCCCATCCCGGTGGCAGGAGGTCTCAGGAGCGCTAGAATCCAGGGGCTGTAATGAACAGGACCTGGGGGGCTTCGCGGTCTCAAGGAGATAAGAGGCCCCTGATCCTTCATCTTCCTCCACGCAGAGGCTCAACCCAGAGCTTCTTTGAGGACCGCCCATTGCTGCGTGTCTTCCCCGCCATCCGCCTCACGGGCTAGCACCACGGACGCCGTGGCAAGGCTAGTGCCTGTGGGGGACACCCCTAGTAGCCTGAGGTAGGGCAGAAGCTGGGAACCAACATGGGGCCCAAATCGCATTAGCCAATTTCAGACACTTGCCACCTCATTACTGTGTCCAGGACCCAGGGGAGTGCCTGACACTCAGTGCACATTTAGTGACTGAAGGAAAAGCCTTGGTTGTGTGACTCCCCTGTCCAAAGTCCTCCATTGGCTGCCCATGGCAGTTAAAACACGTAAATTCTTCATTTCTTCCTCTGCCTTACAGGGAGTGTGACTGCATCATTTACTGAACAAGAAGAGACACTCTCCGAGACAGTGGAAGCAAACCAGGACTGTCCCAAGCAAACTGGGGCGCGTGACTACCCGCAGGGGCCCTTCTATGGCCCCACTTCCCGAGCCGCCGGGCTCATCGGGCCGCACCGGCCTCCCATGGGAACTGCGCTCTGTCTGTCTTTCTACCTGGACAAATCCTTTGAGCGCCTGGATCTTCCTCGCAACTCTTGTTTCCACCGAACACTGCCTCCCCGGGGCTTTCCCTGACCCCCACCCCACCAGGCCCCAGCTTTCCTCTTCCTCCTCCCTTGCAGAGCCCCCAGCTCGGAGGCAGGTGGGGAGTGAGCCCACAAGGTGTGGGAGCACGATTCTCAAGCATCTGTCACCTTTCAGTAAATACTTGTGTTCCCAGCTCTCACCTCCCAAGTGAACATCAAGCTCCAGGGGGAGGTGGGGAGGTGAGAGGCGGAGGAGAGGGAGGAAATGGAGTGAGTGGCAGGCAAGCGAGTCGGGGTTTTTCTGGCCCTGAGTGACAGACACACAGCACTGGCCCACAGAGTCCACCCGGAAACCAGATGCACTCTGACCCCAGTCGCTCGGATGCTTCTTTTAGAAGTATTGGGAACCTGAAAGGGCCTGGATTGGGAAGCAGCTCCCCCAGGCACCCCTGGCAGACACAGGCACAGATTGTGCGGGTAGACAGAAGACACCAGATATGTTTACAAGTTTCCTAATTGCCTCTGTCCTCTCTGATACTGGGGCTCTATAAAATTGTCACAGCCGTGGCTGTCATTTGGCCCTGGCTCGCTGCGCATGCATGCGGGTGTTTGTTTACAGAACGCAGCCGGCAGCAGGCCTTCATGTGGGCTCTGACCCACCCCTCTGGCAGCTGGGAGGGGCTGGGCCCCCTCCAGGATTCCCAGACAGATTTGCTTCTTCAGATTCTTTAAAGCAAAAAAACCCTGAGTATTGGTGATCACTCAGAATCTTGGCAGAAAACTGAATTCGGCCCTGCTGTTTCTAGTGAAGGCACTTCAGCAAAGGGACTATCCATGGGGTGTGACCAGGGCTGAGAGAATCGAGGAGGGTGCCGAGGCCCTGACAGCAGCGGTCACCACCACTGCGGGCTCCAGGGGCGAGGTGGGCATCAGTGTTGCACCCACGAGGACTGGGTGCGTGGAGGGCAGAGGACAAGCTTCCTGCCAGCGGCTGTGGTCTCAGAGACACGCATATGGGGCGCTGAGCAGGCAGAGAGCAGAGACGAAACTCTCCAACCCTTGTCTTCCTCACCTCACTGATCTCCTGCTGGTGCCTGCCATTAGCCAAACCAACAGGAAGCTGGGAGTGTGGGGGACCCTCAGTGCGCCCCACATGGCCCAGCTCTCAGGGCAGGGCGTCCGAGTGGACTGGACCTCAGTGCAAACAAAGAATAACCAGTGTGACTGGGTACAGCATTCTGGGCTGATTTGACGGCCAAGTTTGGTGGAAACTCTTCTTCTCCTATCCCCTAAATCTCTCTTGAACCCACCCACCTCTGTGCCACACAGGTGTTGCCCACCGTGACGTGCCCTCCACTCTCCAGTGCTCTCCATGGCTCCTTGTGCTTCTGGCACATTGACCAAAGTCTGAACTTGTGCAAGTGTGACAGTGTGACCCAGCTGACCCCTGGCCTCACCTCTCACCCTCACCCTTGCCCCCTGCTCGGCTCCACTCCTTGTGGTTACACTGGACAGTTTTCAGGATCCAGAATGTCGTGTTCCTTCCTGCTGCTGAATTTTGTATATGCTGTTCCCTCTGCCTGGTTCTTTTGGCCTGACCCCCAGCTATTTATAAATAAATCTCTCCAATTCTTCATATTTCAGCTTAAAAATCACATTCTTAAGAACAACTTCCCTGAGCCCACAAAGTGGGCAAAGGCTCCCTTCTCATCCCCCCAGTTTCTTTACTTCACCATGTGTGTCACGGCTGTAATTAACGAATCGACGGGCAAGGCTCTGCTCATTGTCTGTCTCTCTTGAGAGATGGTGATCACCACGAGAGCCTGCTCTGTCTGTCTGGTTTGCTGCTCTGCCCAGCACAGAACCTGGCACATAGTAGGTACCCCCAAAACACTTGCTGAGTGACTGAAGAAAGAACTTTCGGCTTCCAGTAACAGCAGGCTAGATTATCTGGGCCTATCGTTGCACTGAAAACAACTAAAAATGATGAATAAATTAAATATATATAGCACTAAAGACATGGCAGTATAAAAGGAAATTGACAGGCCAAAATCGAGAGGAAAGACATCCAGAGAGGTAAGGAAGAATAGAAGCCACTTTTTTTGATCTCCAAAAATTTGAATTTTCAGATGAATACCATATGATCTCACCTTTAAGAGGAAGCTAAACGACAAAACAAACAAGCAAACAAAATAAAAACAAAGACACTGAAACAGAGAACAGGGGGACAGCGACCAGAGGGGAGAGGGGAGGGAATTTCAGGGGGAAAAGGGGAGGGATTTACAGGAACTAGTATAAAGGACACATGGACAATAGCTAAGGGGGTGGAAATGGGAGGGAGGTGGGGAACATGGGGGTCGGGCTGGGATGGGAGTAAAAGACAGAAAACTGTACTTGAATGATAAATAAAAAATATTTTTAAAAATTTTGAATTTTGTTTAGGCAGCCTGATGGAATGAGAGAGATGGAAAGCCCAGGTCTCACACAGGTGAGGCCATGTAATAGGACATCATCTCACACTGATGTGGAGCTCCAAAGGGCCATACCCACAGGATCAAGGTGAATCAGAAGTAGAACCGCTCTCACGTGATCTTGCAATCTAACTTTCATCTCCTGGGTGGGTTAGGGGACCTCCAACCCTAAGGTTGAGTAAGATGATCCTGGACTAGCAGGATTCCTCTCTGTTTAGCAGGAGAAAAAAGTGCTTCCTAGTGAAAGGTACCGTTTTCCTGAATCTAAAATTTTTCTTTCGAACAATTTTTCCAACACGATGACCAGCACATAGTCAAAGATGATCAAACACACAAGAAAATAAGACACTGTAAGTTAAAACTAGGATAATCAACAGGAACCAGAAATAGACCCTTAAGAATTAAAATTGTTGCCTAGAAAAGAACTGTGCACATGGCGTTTAAAGAAATGGTGTGCTTAAGATCACTGTAGGGAATGGGAATCTATACAAAGTGACTATGTAGATCTGAAAAAAAGCATCAAGTTGAATCTCTAGAAATAAAAACTATAACAACCAAAGCACAATGGACAGGTTTAACTGCAGAGTAAACACAACTGAGAAGAAGATGAAGAAATCCGAAAAGGAGTCAGAAGAAATGATTACAATGTAGCCCAGACAGACAAAAAGAAGTACAGAAGGGATGGTATGAGACAAAGAGGAATGAAGGTCCAACACACGTTCACATTGTCCCCGAGGGAGAGGAGAGAGGAAGAGGGCAGGAGCAATGTTTTACAGATTAATATGGGAGAATTTTCTGAATCCAGTGAATGACTGACTGAAGGCATGCACCAAACCATTTGCTGGTGAGTTGTCCTTTGGTGATATAGCTCCATGTTTCGGAAAACCTGGACCCAGTCTGCTATTGGCCAAGGGCCATGATGTTGTACAACACCAAATTCAATGTAACAAAGGACACACAAAAAAAGGTGGAAAATCACCCCTACCATCTTAGGAACCATTTGGGCAGCCCTGAGATGACTGGACCTGCGTTTTCCTGTTCCCCTTTCCCTCCCACAGGCCTTAATGACCTGTCACTGGGAGAGCAGAATGCCCTTCTCCAGGGTCCCTCCACAGTCACCTGGGGTGCAGTGGCATGGGTGGGTGGAGTGAGAAAGTCACCCGTCCCACCCTGATGCAGTACTAACAGGACACCCTCCTCCTACACACTGTGTCCCTTCTCTCCTCTGACTTTGGTCTGCCCATGACTGGGCTCTGGTCTGGGCTCCTAGGAGTGGGGGCTTGGTGGAAACTTATTGACTGGTTGGCTGGTATGGTCTGGTTATGGCTGGGGCGGTGGATCTGAAAGAGGAATATCCTTTGCCGTAACTGAAGAAAGCTTGATGATGCCAGCACCACTTCAGGGTCCTTCAACCCTAGGCCTCAACGTGGGCCAAGAAGACCTAATGTCCCGCATTGTCTAGCCCACCAATATCATCTACAACTTGGATGGTGAGGATCTAGAAGCTGGACTCCAGGGACAGCAGGGAACGCATCCAACCCTCGGTTCTGCAGCCCCCTGACTCCCAACCCCGAGCTCCCTTGGGTGGGAAAGTACGTCTGACTCATACGCCCCTCTTGGCTGCCAGGTGACCTTGTCCTGGTCCTCCTTAGTGTGACTCGTCCTGGGATCAGGTTCTTGTGGTTGTTCTGTTCTGGAGGGACACCCATTCATCATCTCGCCTCTGGGAATCCTGGCACACCTTTCAGACATGCTCAAACAGAGAGGCTGCCAAACCTGTGCCTGGTCACACAGCAGGTGTGTGGTGAGGTGAGGACATACATGGTCTCACGCCCCCAGTGGGTGGAAATGCTGGCCCAGCCCTGTGTAATCAATATCGAGCCAGGGCACTGAGAGCAGCTCCAGAGCAGAGGTTCACGCAGGCCCTGGTCCCGTCCTGGCCTTCCGGCAGGGGCCGGATTTCCGCAGCCCCAGCAGCAGGCCCTCCAGCCACTGTGCTGAGAGCGTACCAGTCCCAATGTCTTGTCTCATGGGAAAAGCAGAAAAGGATGGCCAACTGACCTTGGTCTTCCAGCCCGTGATGAATAAAGATAGGGGAGCGTGTGGGCCCCCAAACCTGGCTCTGCAATGTTTCTGATGTGCCATTCCAATTTCTAAAATTCTCATAGATGTTCCAAACAACATGTAGTGGATTTAATTTAAAAAATTAAAAACTAAAGTAAATTAAGTTAAGGAATGTTGGGTGGAGGTGGGGGAGGGGGAGGGTGTCGTGGAATAAAGCCAATAATGAGAGTCTTATGAAAACATGACTATTTCACTTTCCTGGGTGGATTTGGGGGTGGAGAGGGTTCAGCTCTTTCACTGAACGCAGAGTGCAGGAGTCCGGTGCTCATTCGGCCCCGACCCTGGCCTCATCACTGGCCCCAGAGGACTGGGCTCCAGGGCCAGCGGCCAGGCCTCTGATGAGCCTGGGTGCTGCGCAATGAGTGGAGGACACAGGCGGGCTGCTCTCCTTTCTCGTGTGGCTCCCGCACACCCCGGGCGGTGCTGTCCTACATAATTATGTAAAGTGCACATCACTCAAGATGCTCATCTTGCCTCTGACACATTTTGGGCCGAGAGCCATCATCCCCACCCCCCCTGGTTCAGGGGCCCAGCCCATGACTCACATGCCTCCATGTCTCCCCAGTGAGATTGCTCCTCCAGTGGAGGTTGGTAGGGCCTCGGTAAGTTGGGGAATTGCTCTCGGGAGGACACTTTGCCCCTCTTGGGACTGAAAGCTCCTTCCGCCTCAGGCTCAGAATCAGCCCCAAGTTCCTACTGTCATGGTGTGCTCCTGCGTCTGCGCCTGTGCCCACGTGGTGCCACTCTCCCCTTGGGGTTGTCCACAGCCCAGGCCTGCCCCCCTCCTTTGTCCTGCCCTGTACCTGGCAGGCTTGCCTGCGGAGGGGGCCAGTGATTTAAGGCCTCCTGCCCCCTCTCGATACCTGCTGCCCTCCCTTGACAAGTGGTATCCAGCTGTTTTCTGTGCTTGAGCGGCGGTTGGGGGGAGGGTTGTCCGAGAGCTGCCTTCCTTCCGTGCCTGAGGGGTTTGCTCATTAACTCAGGTAACTCTTGAGGTGGCATTCCTGGCAGCAAAGGGAAAAGCAGGGTAGTTTTCTGGAGCAATTTCCTACTGGGGGCCATAGCTCTGGGGAAGCCTGGCCAAGGCCCCCTCCCACCTGCCTCTGAAGCCCCCTCCTTACCCCTTGGGGTCCCTAGGGGCTCCCCTGGCTCTGGGAGTCCAGTCAGGCCTCCCCACGGGGCGGAGGGCAGCCTCCTTCCTTACGTCCTGGGGTTGAGCTATGTCAGGCAAATGGGAACCAGCTGTTTGGCCAAGTACCGAGATGACCCAGTGGGGGACAGAGGGAGTGAGGGGGCAGGAGGTGTCCCCTGGACACACGTAACATATCCTTTTGCTCTCTTGCCAACAGCAAGGGGAGGGCAGGGCCACCCTACACACCCTCTTTCTATCGTGACGTGGGAGAAAGAGGTTTCAGCTTCCCAAACAGAAAGGAGTTACTGGGGAGGCCCGAGGGTTGGGAAGGGGGAAGGTCTCAGGATCTGGGGAGGCTGTCACCCCAGTGAGAATGCTTGTCCTCATCGAATAGGAGTTGTCACCTAGGGTTCTGCACTTGTGTCGAGAATCTTTTACTGCACTTGGGCACCTGGCTACTTCTGCCAAGAGCAGTGGAAGAGGGTTTGACCTCAGACTCAGCCTTTAAGGTCCCTGGCAAGAGGGCTCTGCACCCAGGAGGAGCTCATTAAGTGCTTTCTATAGCAAATGAAAGGCTTCCTGGTTAAAAAAAAAATTCTGGGCAACATTAAAATGACTTCTGGAACTTGATTATTCTGGGTGCTGAATTTTGCCATAAATTATCCACACAACTGTCTCCATCCAAGGGAGTTGGCAGGGACCAAATCGTGGCCGCCCCCTCCCACTCTCCTCCTGGCCTGATACACAACCATGGCAAATCTCAGCAGCTTGAGCCAAGTGTCTCACAAGCTTTGCTTGTTCACCTTTCCCAACAACTTGATGACATATACTAGTTTTGCATACCTTTTGCATAAAAGGAAATGGAAGCTTGGAGAAATGAAGAGACTTGGTCAGGGCCACAGAATTAGTAAGAGGTACAGCCAGGAGTCAGCTGGTACCAGGCTACACGGCTCGTGGGAGAAGGGCCACCCTGACCGTGGCATGGGAGAAAGAAGGAACTTCTGCTTATCACCTGTGGGCAAACTGCCCCTTACAGAGCCCAGCTCAGTGCACACCTGAGGCGTGTCCCGCGCCAGGGCACCTGGGCTCAGTACATCTGCGCAATGCTGACTGCTGGCCTGTTCCACGCCTGGCTCTGCAGGACAGCAGCAGTGGCCTTTAGCCCACACTCACTGTCACCAGCGCCAGGCAAGTGGCACTTGCATTTCTGAATTAGACACAGTCTTAAGCATTGCAGCCACTAGTGACTTCAAATTGTTCTAGGATAAGTTCTTCTTGTGGATTCCTGGGTTAAGGCCAATTAAAGTGCTGCCAGGTAGGGCTTATTCCCTATAAATCAGTGGGAATGTGGTCACATGAATTTTTAATATCAGATTAAAATCAAATTAGTGGGAAAATTTAGAACAAATTGCCTTCAAGTACAGTGAATGAGTCTATTTTTAAAATGTTACTGCACCAGGCAAAATAGTGAAGCGCACACATTTCCTAACAGCGCAGAGACGGCGTGTAGGGAGCGATTTGTCACGCTTAGTCATTGTAATTGCTCTAGCAAAACTGAAGAACCAAATAAAACATGTTTGCAAATTGTAAATCATCATGGGCACTTCAGATGGGCCCTAAGCTGCTGTGGAAGGTCACAGTGGCTTTCTCTGGGGCAGGTGCCCCGTCTCTGACACGGCCTTGCCCCCGATTCATAAACAGGGGCTGTGCGGCCACGCCCGCCTGGGACCACTGCCCGAAGCGTGAGGGGAAGGCCGCTGCAATCAGGCCTGTTTCTTCACCAGCGAGAGCCGCGAGGGCCAGTGGCTGCCTGGGGAGGGGCTTTCCCTTTGGTGAAAGGTTGTCTGCCACTTGCCAAGGAGCAGAAATATCTTCAGATCTAGAGGGCTTTCGGACAGGCCGTGATGGTTCCAACCAAGACCTGTCTCTGTCTCTGTCTCTGGGTGACACGTCCTGGTCCTTGGCCACATTTGGCCGCTGTTGTTCCCACTTGTGGGCCATAGTCCCTCTGTAAAGGCTTTGTTTGTCACCCTAGAGAGACACAAAGGTTTGCGAGGTTTTTATTGCATGAACACGAGGTCCCAGCTGCCTGCCCCCGCAGCCTTGGGGCGCACGGCACTGCCTCTCCGCGAAGTCCCACCGCCTTCCTGTACGCTGTCCCTCAGAGCATGACCATCTCGTTTGGCCTGGAGAGGCCCTGCTTCTGGTGGTAAGAAAAGGTCACGTAGAGGATTATCTAGCACCAGACAGGTTACCTTTCTTAGGATTCTTGCATTAAAAAATTAAATTCAGAGACGTCATGACTCATGTAGAATGAGCCTTATCCCAAGTGCCCTTGCGCTGCCTTCCACAGTGGTGTGACTGGCCCCTCATGCCCCTGCTTCGTGTATCGCAGGCCAACCCAGCAAACCCTCGAACGGCAAGGAGGGAGTGAGGATGTTTTTCAAAGGAGGAGAGAGATGAGTTGCACAGTGATCCGTGCATTCACACATGTGTTGAAGGCCTGCTGTAGGCCAGATGCTGAACCACCACTGCGGCCAAGTTCAGCAGGAGGCCAAGACAAGCAGAATCCCAGGTGAGTTTATGTGATTCGGCTCCAGGAGCTCACGGTGACCTTGGAGAGAGCAGTTTCCAGGAGGCCGAGGGTGAGGGTCAAGAGTGGGGACAAGGAGACAGAAAAGATGGAAGGTCAGAAACTGGCTCTCTGGTTACATAAGAACCACAGAGGGTATTTTTAAAACAGGCCAATTCCCATCCCAACTTGTCGAATATGAGAAAACTACATCTTTAAGTCCATCTCGGGTGGGCTTCCAGACCCGAGTCTGAAAAACGGGGCTGTGGAAGAGTCTGGCTTGTCAGCTCTGCCTAGAACAGCAGAAGATTCTTTTCCCATGGTCCTCGCTGAGCACTTTCTAGGCCCCTCAAAGCAGCCAGGGAGTGTGGACCCCTGTGACCTGCTCCTCTAGCAATCTTTCTGGCTTCTGAGAGTGCATCCTTCTTGCCACAAGTGCCTACCACTCTGTAACCTAATGGGAACCTTTGGGTGCAGGTCCCATGGGGTGCCCAATACCATCTGCTGTTCTTAAGTATGGCTTGGGCAGAGCAAATGAAGAGAAAAGGCATCCGTGGAAGCTATCACCCAGGGGGCCCTGTTCCTAGTGGGTGGGGCAAGATGGCTAGAAAAATAATAAATAAAAACAAAAGTGAAGGGAAGCAAAGCTTTTGGGTGCCAGAATGGGGCTGGCCAAGGCTGTGGCTGCCTGAGTAATGGGTTCCACATTTGTTTGGCTCTGTCTGAGGCGACCAGGATCCAGGATGCACAGAGGGCTTTGTAGGGGCTGGAGGGGAAAGCCCTGCTGAGGCCAGGCCTAGGCAGACCCTTGCGATGGCCCCATCCCCACCCCCCCAGGCAGGTCACAAGGCGACTGAGCTCATGCCCCAGCACCCGGGCCTCCTCCCTGCCCCCGCCCGAGGCTCCTGGGTCCCTGCCGGCCTGCACAGATTGTTCGTGTTATTAATGCCGATTTCCCAGAGATTCCATCTGGCTTTTTAATTGCTCTGGGATGGGGCTAAGATGCTTTGATAGTGAATCGGTATCTTTCCTATGTCTGCTTACGTCAAATGCTCCATCCACAGAGAGGGATATGGAGGAGGGGGAGAAATGAGGATGTCCAGAAATGGGTGATAATACAAGTCTTTTACAGAGGCAAGGAAGATCTTTCAAAGGTGCTGGTGGTTTAGTTTAATTTAAATAAAAGAAAATAAGAGAAAGGCCTACCTCTACCCACCAGCATAAAAAACAGCTGGATGGGATATCGCATCTGTCCGGGCAAGGCCTCTACCTTACGTCTGCGGAAGGCCCGTGGGTGCCTGGAAGGAGGTCTCCTGGGCTTCCGCCCCTCCTTGGCCTGCACAAGGAGTGACCTCCCTGTTCTTCTCCCCACTGTCCCATCTCCTCCCATGAAATCGGCTGCTCACGGAGGAGGAGACCTGGCAGGTTCCTGCCTGGAAAGGAGGGGGCAGGGGACCTGGGAGGGGCAGACACTCCTCAGCAGGCCCAGTGGCTCATCGCAGGTGTCAGGGCCCCACCCCACATTCGCAGATTCCCAGGAGATCCAAAAGATAAGGGTGACATTCGTGACAACGCTGAAGCATCAGGAGGCACCTGGCAGCAAAGGAGTGCCTCCCTCTCTCCCTCTTGCCCTTGCTCCTTTCCTGCGGGCTGGTTCCCCTGAACAGCACTCTCGGGGGACACCAGGCTGTGGTGGCCCACCAAGGGAGTGAGAAGCCTGCTAACCCTCACGGGAGAGTGCAAGGCAGAGGTATCCGGGCCTGCTGGAGAGGGTCCATGGCCGTAATGGGTCAAAGCTGCTGCCTCCGGGAAGCCTTCCCTGGTGGCCTCTCTTCACACTTTGAGTTTTCTCTTATTACATTTATCACTCTTAAGACACATCTGGATGTCACAAGGCTGTGAGATCCCCAAGAGTAGGACCCGAGTCTTCTTGTTTCCGGATGAATGCCCCATCCCAGGCGTGGACCCTGGCATCCAGCAGGCAACCGGTACATACTTGGGGCGTGTTTGGTGCCAGGCTCTTGGAGTAGTTCCTCATAAAGGCCAAAGTCAGGAGGGGAACTGTGGGGGGCCCTGCAGGAAGCAGTGGGTGGCAAAGAGTGGCTCTCCCCAGGGGCCTCTCTGGCTGGCACAGAGCATGCGTTGGGCAGGTTCACCCCATGCTTTCCCCTCCTGCTGGCAGGCTGCTCTGTCTATTGGGGGCCACACAGGGGTCTCCCAACCCTATCCCTTTCCAGGGGCTGGCTGTGGGTGGATACATCTCGTCCCCAACGGAACCTGCCCCGGACCTCAGGATCTGCAGTGGGAGTGGCGTCCTTTCATAAGCTGACAGCTTTGATAGAGGAAATCCCTGGAGATGGGACAGTGGGAGGGGAGGGGGGGACTGAGGGCAGGAGGGTGCCCCTCCCCCACTCATCCTGGGATCTGTTCTGGGGGCAAAGGGGGAAGCCAAGGCTGGGCCCCCTCAAACAAGAAAAACTGGAACTAGCACTGAACTCAGAGGGTTTGCTGGGGCCGAGCAAGCTGCGGCCTGCCCCGGTCCTCCAGGCGGGCGGCGGGCTCTGCCTCCTTGGTTCCCAGGCAGCGGGGCAGGCTGCCGCCTCCTCACTGGGCTTGTGGCTTCTCTTCTGCCAAGGGCGGCCATGGGTGAGGAGGCGGCAAGACACAAGACAGAAAGGGGGGAACAGGAAGGGGGGCAGGTCGCCCCCATTAACCTCACAGTCAGGTAAAGCTAATGCTTTCAGAGTTTAAGAAGAATGTGTAATTTCTCGAAACTGTCCCAGCCCACATTGGCATACGCTGTAAGCTGCTCAAGTGAACACTCTCAGAGTGAAAACAGAAGGTAGAAATTGTTTTGCCTTTTGCTCTCAGAAAGAGTACACCCAGAAGACCCTGCCAGCCTCCTGCGTGACTCCCTCCCAGAATCTGTTCTTTCAGGCTCGAAGGTATACCCTCCCTTGGTTGGTTTTCACCGCTGCTAAGAGGGTGCCGGGTGCCTGTCCTCACAGGGCAGTCATCCAAGTCGGGGCTCGTTGCAGGATGGATGGAGTGGGCAGCGTGGGTGTTGGGGTTGGCTCATTGCCGGGTGTGGGGAAGGGTCAGACACCCACTGCAGGCCTGCTATGGGTCCTTTTTCTGGGTGGGCTGGGGCAGGGAAGGTGTGGAAAGCCAGTGGAGGGGCGCTCAGTCTGCGGGCTGCCTTTTGGGGCCCTGCTGGGGTAGCCTGCAGCCACACGGCTCAGAGCAAGGGGAAGGGGTGGAGGGTCCTGCAGCTCCAGGCCTCTCCCTGCCTGCCCGGGAGCAAAGGAGCTGTAAGTGGGTCCAAGGGAGTGTGGCCAGAGGGCCCCTGGAGCCTGGACAAGTCCTGCCCAAGTCCCAAAGAGGCTGTGGCAACTTCAGGCAGGGTGCTCCTTCTCCGTGCCCCTCTTCTCCCAGAGCACCAATGAGAGGCCACGGCAAGGTCCCGTACCCTCCCCCTCCCCGCCCCCAGCAAGGTCTCCGGGCAGGAGACTCTCCTCAGGCTTTGGCATTCTCAGCTTGGAGCCTTGTCTTCCTTCCGTCATGTATTTGCCTTGCTTGGGAGAAGTCACCCTTCTAATGTAAAGAGGGGCTCAAGATGGGTGGAGAGTGAATAAAAGTCAGGCTCTCAGCCAGATAATAAGCTGTGATTATTTACAAATGTGACCTGGCCCACAGAAAACTGTGGAAGTAGTTTTTTTTGTTTGTTTGTTTTAAAAAGACACCAACATTTACTTTGATACATTTATATTATAGATATAATACATAAAACATCTAACATGAAACTCTTACGTTCTCCCCAAAAGAAGAGAACCAAGCTGTCCTTCCCTGTCCCGAGCCCAGCGATCCGAGCGTGCTGGCTGGAGGCGCCTCCCTCCCAGACCCGGAGCCAGGGCCTCTGCAGGGGACAAGCCTGCGGGCAGCCTGGGCCGGAGCAGACGGAGGCCCACAGCCACCCCCAGGGAAAGCTGAGGGGAGAGGGGAAGCCCATCTCGCCTCTTCGGTTCCCCTGGGAGCAAAAGCAATCCCAAAACCAAAAGGAAAGAGAGCCGCAGACCCTCCCTGCAGCTGCTGACGAAGAGTCTCATTTTGGCAAGTATCTGAGCAAAACCAAAACAAAACAAAAACCAAAGAAAATGGTGGTTTCGCATAGACAGGCACATTCACATTGCACAAGGCACCACTGGGACACAGAGAGGCCAGATACAAATGCCGATATCGGCTGATAAAGCAAAATATTTGGAAAGCTTCTCATAACTCGGTCCCTCTGGGATGGACTGACTGTGCTTCGTGTTTGTGTGGCAGTGCTGCCCACTGACAGGACGGACATGGCTGGTGCTCCCAGGGTCCCTTCACCCTGCCTCCAGCCCCCGGACGGGAACTCTGTGCTCCCGGCTTCCACCAGGCCACCACTCTCATGAACATAGGTCGTTAAGCTAACCCACACCTAGCTTTCTGGTCTGCCTGGGAGCGAGGTCTCTCACTGGTGACGCTGAAATCAAAGAGTTCTGCCCTGGAAGCCCAGCCAGCCTGTGGTAGGCTGAGAGGTGAGAGGCAAGGAACAAGGGACCCTCCACCTTCATGGGTCCCAGGGGAACCTAGGGGAACCGCGGTGGGTTCAGAGCCCCAGATCCCTGTGTTTCCTCCCCCCCCCACAGACAAGGAGCTGAGGAACAGCTGGGGACTGGCTCTCTGGGTCTCTGCTCTCCCTGAACCTTCCTCCTGCATGGGGACTGCACCCCTCCTTCTCTCATGGGAGCCAGCTGCAGCCTTGTGAAGGAGGCAGGAACCTTCCAAATAAAATGACAAGGCACAATTTTGCTCCCCCTACTTGGTAGGAATCAGAGCGGGTGAGTTTGCATTTCCAAGGCACAAAGTTATTCTTTAATACTAAAGTTGCCAGGCTCCTGGCTTGGCCCCACGATGCTTCTCCTCTTTTACAGGAAGAAACCACTGCCTGACCCCTCATCTTGGACGCACCGTGTCCCGCGCAGAAGAAAGCAAGGCCAGGCTCTCAGGCGGCATCGGAATCTCCTAGTCCTGGCATGCGCGGCTCTGACAGTCTTGAGATCCGGAGACCCGAAAGCACTCCCTAGGTCCCAGCCAGGGGCCGGCCCAGAGCGGTCCCGCCGCCGGGCCTCAAGAGCAGTTGCCCATGGCCTTGACCAGGGAGCTCTCTGGTAGCTGGCGGAAGATGCCCCGCAGAGTGTCCAGTTCGCGGCTCAATTGTTCCACCCGCTTGCGCAGGCGATCATTGTCACTGGTCAGCTCCAGCACCTTCTGCTGCGTCTCCACATTGCGCTGCTTGGCCTTGTCCCGGCTCTTGCGCACTGCGATGTTGTTGCGTTCGCGCCGCACCCTGTACTCGTTGCTATTCTTGTCCACCGACTTCTTGGTTTTGCCCGCGCCGCCGCCGCCCGCGCGGAGGTCGGAGTGCGCAGCGGTCAGCCCCTTGAGCGCGCCGCCGGAACCGGGAAGGCCAGCGGCGCTGAGAGCTGGCGCTGGATGCGGGCTGGGCACGGGCGTGGGCGGCGGCGTGGGGTGGCCGGGCTGCAGGTGCATGGTGGTCTGGCCGCAGTGTGCGATCTGGAACTGCAGGTGCGGGGCAGCCAGGTGCGCGGGCGGCGGGTGCGGGTGCGGTGGCGGCGGCGGCGGCGGCTGGTAGGGGAAGAGGCCGGCCAGCGACAGCTGTTTTGCCTCGTCCTCCTCGCGCGGCTCCTGCTTGATCACTAGCGGCCGCAACGCTGGCGCCCCGACGCGCTCGTACAGGGGCTCCAGCCTGCCGTCCAGGTAACCGACCCCGGAGCAGCCGTAGCTGGGAGGGGGCCCGTGCGCTCCTCCGGGCATAACAACGCCTCCGGGGCCCACCGGGGCGCCCGGGTAGTCAAAGTCGCTGCCGCCGCCTCCCGAGGGGGCCGCGGCCACCTTGGCCTTCTCCTGCTGCCGGCTGTGCTGGAACAGGTCGGCCAGGAACTCGTCGTTGAAGGCTGCCGGGTCGATGTAGGCGCTGATGTCGATGGAGGTCTCGTGTTCACAGATGCCACCCAGCGGCTCCGGGGCTGCAGGTGGGGCTGGGGGCTGCGCAGGGCCAGGGCCCCGGGGAAAGCCGAAGACGGCGCTGCTGGGCGCGTGCTGGGGGCTCTGGAGGTGGCTGCTCATCGGGGGCCGCGGCTCCGCCTCGTAGAAGTCGGCCGACTCCATGGAGGAGCTACAGTCCTCCCGGCATGGCGAGCCTCGGCGGCCTCCAGGTTGCGCGGGGCGCCGCTGCTGCCGCCACCCGCCCGGAGTCCCTACCAGCTTGCGCCCGCGCAGCTCCGGGTCGCGAATGGCCAGGCCCGCGCGGGCCCCGCATTTATACCGGGGGTAGCTGTCGCCCTCTAGTGTCCCGCCGGGGGAGACGGCGCGCGGCGCCTCCTGGGTCTTAGGGCCCACCCGCCGCGGAAGACGGCGCGTGGGGCCGAGCGCAGAGGTGGCGCGAGAGCCCGCGAAGCTACGCCCACTGGCCCCTGCACCAGGAGCAGAACCGCGGCCCGCCCGCAGTGCCCAGCCCTCGGCCGAGTTGTCCCCCCCCGGCACGTGGTCGGTGGTGGGCCCCCCTCCTCTAGCCTGTGCCAGACACCCGCTTCCAGCCAACGGCCGGTGAGGCCGGGAGCACCCAGCCGCCGCGCGGGTGGCGGCGGGCAAGTCTTGGTCTCTGAGCTACTGTGGAGCCGGCTCGCTTTAAAAGCCATAATCAGTCCTGTCCGGGATCGGGGTTTCTGGAGGGCGGCGACGTGGAGAAAGAGCTGGGGCTGGGGTGGGTGGCAGAGAACCGTTTTGGAGGCACGGCCCATCGCACACCGCGACGTGGAGAGGCCCGGAGCGCCGTGATTTTGCGTCTTTATCTGCGGTCTCCAGGCGACCCCACGGATTCCACGAACCTCTCCCCAGCTCCGCCTCTCACAGGACTTTGGGGTTCCAAGAGCGTTGCAGTGCCGGGCGCTAGGACCGCGCAGGGAGCGGAGGGCAGAGGAGGCGGCCGCGGCCCGTGAGCCCGGTGGACTGGTCCGGTCTGACCGCCTGGGCTGGAAAACTTTTTCTTTTTTAATTACTTCTCGCCGCGTTAAGATTGCTACGCGCTCGCGGGGCTTGGCGCGGCTGTCCCTCTCGGGGCCGCCAATTTTTTCCTGCGCGACGGGCGGAGCTGGATCCCCGGGCTGGGGTACCAGTGGCGGGGGGGGGGGGCGCACTGAAAGAGGCGGCGAACTCGCCTCGGGAACGGGGATCTCGAAGTGGGCTGGCTGTCAGCGGGTTTGGAAGGTGCTGCCTTCTCCCCTACTGCCCGTGCAGATGGGCTCCGGCAGGGGTGTCCAGGGAGCCCGGGTCTCGGAGTCTCGGAGGCCCAGGGTCCGAGCACTTCACGGGAGAATCTGCTGGTGGGTTCTCAGGCCGCCGGGTTCCCGAGACCCCGGGGTGGGGGAGGGGGAATAAGCGTCCAGACCCAGTGCCCTCCTCTCGCCCCCGATCCCCCCACCCTCCCCGGCGCTGAGCCGCCTCCGAACTCAATGGAAAGGGGTTTTGGCGGCCGGTCTCCTCAGCCACGTGGCGCCTCGCGCATTCTCTGTGGGTGATCGCGGGGACAGCGGGGCTCGCAGGGGATCTCCTGGACCCTTGTCACTACTACCCTCCTCCCCCACCGCCCTTGCCCTTACGACTTCGTGCTCGAAGTCCAACGCTGCCTGGATGTTGATTGGAGGTGTACCTGCCTTAGGAGCAATGGGCCACTCTAGACCCTCTCGCAGAGAGCAGCCTTCCAAGGCTTGGCAAGGCGCCACGACCTGCCCAGGAGCCCTCGAGGCCAGCGCACAAACACCGACCGGGCTTCCACTGTGGTCACCAGAAAGAAGCAACTTCAACTGCAGAATGCACCCTGTGCTTTAATCAACTTTCTATTCATCATATTTCCAATGATTAATGACCCAACTGCTAGTCCAGACCTCACACATACAATATTTTTAGCTTGATTTTGGACTGGGAGTAAACGTAGATTTGTTAGATAGATAACCCCCGTGAGCTGAGCAGCGGCTGTGCTGGCCAGCTCCTGTGCAACCTGCAGAGAAACTCGGAGGGGCTTTTCCATCTTCCTGCAGCCCTGATAATAATGGCTGTCCCAGGGTGGGAGCGAAGAAAAGACTACTGCAAGTGTCCTGTTCATAGCGTCTACGCCTGGTTTCCTGCCGGGGTTGCAGGTGGAGTGTCTCCTCTTAGGATGGGAGGGAATCTCTGAGGCCCCCAGGGCTGGGGGAGCACTGCAATCAGGCCTTGTCAGTAGGGTGTGTGGGGGTGAGAGAGGCCCCCCGAGAGGCCCCACAGCCAGGGCTGAAGGTCCTTCCACAAAGAACCAGAATTTTCCCCACAAAGCCAGCTTTGTGCAAGGTGTTTAGTGTCCAGAGGTGAGTAAGAAGTGGCCTCTGCCCCCTTGGAGCTCTGGGCACATTTGGGGAGTCCGGCAACACTGTCCACTGGGAAACAAGGGACTCCTCACAGATGAGGCGGCCTGGAAAGACCAAGCGACGGGAGTGGGCAGAGGGACTTTGTCCGCTAATTTGTCGAAGGTCTGGTAGGAGACATGAGTGGGGATGAAGGATGGATGAGCTGAGTGGTACTGGATGCTCCGCCCTGGTGAACAGGAGCCTTGGGGGCGGGTATCAGCAAATTCCGTCTGGGGAGGTGCTATGGGCTAAATTGTGTTCCCCAGTCCAATTTATCAGCTGAAGCCCTAACCCCCACTGTGACTGTAATCTGGGGATTTGGGGGGGGGCAGTCATTAAGATTAAATGAGGTCATAAGGGTGGGGTCCTAATCGGACAGGATTGGTGGCCTTGTAAGAGGAGGGAGGAAGAGCTCCTCTCCCCGCCCCACCTGGCTAGAGCGCAGGCACCGGCACCATGTGAGGACACAAGGACGGCAGTGTCTGCAAGCCAGAGAAGAGGGCCCTCACCCAAACCCAGCCATCCTGGCACCCTGGTCTTGGATTTCCAGCTTCCAGAACTGTGAGCTTCGGTTATTTAAGCCACACAATTTGTGGTTATTTTGTTACTGCAGCCTAGGCTGAGACAGGACGTCAGAGAGGGCTTCATGTAAGAGTGGGTCTTTGAGCTGCGCCTTGAAGGATGAGCAAGAGTTCGCTAGGATAGGTGGACGGAATGGCAGGTGCAAAGGTGGAGAGGCTATGAGTTCACAGCATGTTCTGGTAACAAAGGACAAGACGTCTGTTAGGCTGGAGTGCAGGGATTGCCGGGGAGGGGCCTAGATAAGGCTGTATCTGAGGATGGGGCTGGGTTTATGGCCAAGGCCAGTCCAGGTGAAGGAGAGAGCCTGTCTCCCAGGCTTTTGCCAACCAGCTTTTAGCAGGAGGGCACTGTGGTCTACCCCTTGGACTATCCCCCACTGGAAGCTTCCTTAGGTGAGTATAGATTCCCTGCACGGGACTGCACAATTCGGCCCATACCCCTGAAAACTGCCCCCACTCTCATCACCTCTTGGACTATGGGTGTGCAAGTACCTGGGTCTGACAAGTACCTGGTAACACAGCCCATGTTACCTGGGCAGCTGCCTCTGGGTTGTTTGAGCAAGAAATCCCTTGGCCTGGTAGACTCATCACCCCAAGGGAAGGGAAGAGCCAGAGGAAGGCATGAGGGGGCCCTCTGACGTGAGGTCCAGCTCAGGGGCCCTAGCACCTGAGTCTAAGCGAAGTACCGGGGTCTGCGGGGCAGGGTCCCAGGGCCCTGGCCAGTCCCGCTCTCATTCACTGCAAGCAGGAAAACAGTGACAGCAGTGCTTCTGGCCTTGTCTGGAGGCCCCTGGCCCTCTTCTGTTGGACGGCTTGTCGGCAACAATTCCAAACCGATGTCCGCACCGCATCCCTTCTCTCATCTCACCACAGGCTCCGGTTCCAGCCACCACGCTCGCTCATCTGGACCACCGCAGCGGCCTCTTGCTAGTCTCCCTGCTGCCTTGCTGGCCTCCTTGCCCCCAGCACTGTCCACAAAGTCACCCGTGTTCCCATTAAACATTCACCGGGACCATTTCACTCACCCACTTCAGCCTCCTGTGACCTTCCTTTGCATGTGGAAGAAGACATGTGATGTGCCACCCTGGCCACAAGGCCTGCATAATGTGGCCCTTTCCTCTTCTACTCCTCAGACTCTTCTTGGCTCCCAACTATTCTTTGACAAGATGAGTGTCTCTCAGCCTCGGGGAGCTTCCCTGGGCTCTGCTGGCTCCCTGGAATGTTATTCCAAAATGTTGGCATGACTCCTTCTTCCTGTCATTTGAGCCTCACCTTCTCAAAGAGGGTCCTCTCCGGTCCGAACTGCATACTCAGCCAACCACCTCCCCCCGCCCCCCGCCACACCGCCCCTGAGGCCATCGCATGCTTTATTTTCCTCGTAGCACTCTCTGGAAAATGGTCTTATTTACTTATTTCCCTTGTTCCCTGTCTGGTCCCCCCACCAGAATGCCAGCCTCACAAAGACAGGACCTTGTCTGTCCCCTTCTGCCTATTTCCAGAGTGAGAACAGGCCTTGGCGTATGATAGAGCCTCAAATATCTGTTGAATGGACAAGAATAGATTCTATTCAAGAAAACTGCTACCCAGCCATCCTCCCAGAACTCTCAGCTTGTTCCCAGGCCTAGGAGGGCTGCTCAAGGGTGGCCCACAGGATGCTGGGCAAGACCCGACCTCTAGGTCAGAGCTCCCCAGGGCAGGCCCATTGGAGCCTTCTGCAGCGCGGGCCTGGACAGCCTACACAGTGCCTTTGGGCTGACTCGAAAGAATCTCCCTCAGGCAGGCCCCTGGGGCGTGGCTGAGCAGAAAGTGCCTTTGTCGGGAGGAAAAAGGGTGCCCTTCTCTGGAGAGATGCACCCCTGCCGAAACACAAAGCTGGGCGCGTGGCGGCCTCCTGAACTGGGCTCATTTGTGTAGCGAGAACTTCTCAGCCCAACAAGGAGGCCCTGAAACCCCTCCTCCACTTTGGCTCCAGAGCATCCTTCGGTGTAGGGCACTGCTGGGAGGGTGCTCAGGGGAGCAGACTCGGTGCTTGGGTGTGAGGACATCAGAGCCACCTGGGAGAACCGGCCTGCCTCCTGCAAGCTCATGTGGGAGGCAGTGGCTGCCCCAGCATGTACCCTGACAGCCCTACCGCTTGAGAGATGGGGCGGGGCTCCTTGGAGCCCACTTCCGTGTCCCCGCCGTAATGATCTCACTCCTTCTCTTTGCTAATTATAAGGATTTACGCCTCAAGGTGCATCTTAAAAAGCAACCAACAAACAAGTAAAACTTAAATAAGGGGAGA